GCTACACCACACAAACCCAAGCTGGTGTAGCCACGTCGGAAATTCACGCTACAATGCTTCTAAACGACCTCAATTCTTTAGTTATCCCGAAGGACATATCTAACGCAAAGAGTACTGCCAGATCTGAATTATTGGCAACGAAGACAAGCAACGAGGCATTGGTTGAAATGCTTGACAGCAAATGATTTCTACTTTCTTTTGAGACGGATCCTGAGACCAATCGTCTTCGCTACTTGGTTTGGGCACGCCCCAAAACGACAGCAATGGCCCGGGATTTCATGGCAGTTCTGGTGATTGACTGCACGTACAAGACCAATCGCTTTAACATGCCTCTTTTAAACGCCATTATCCTTACCGGAATGAACACAATTCTGCCGTTTGCACAAGTTTGGCTGCCTGGCGAGGCTGAACCAGATTTTGAGTGGGCCTTCGTGCAGCTCAAGACCTAATGGAGCAAAATGGCATCCCGCAACCTCGAGTGATCGTCACGGACCGCGACCTAGCTTGTACGAATGCTACAGAAACTGTGTTCCCCAACTCCGACAAGATGTTGTGCCTCTGGCATATCGCAATGTTCTTGCTCAAGCAAAAACGAAAATCCAGAACAATTTGGCTGTAGACGCGACGCAAATTGCAAATGCTTCTCGACCTTTCTCGTTTACCAACCTTCTCACGAGTGAAGACACTGCTGAGTTCGAGTCCACAGTCTTGCCTCCCCCGTCATGGAATTTTGCTGGTCTGAACTCACTTGACAACTAGATCAAAGGTCTTACATACATGTACTAATACATTTATTGTAAAATATGTACTTACGATTTTTTTTTCGTTCTCTTATTATTCTATATTGTCATTATAAATAACTCACATGATAGAAGTCGATTGATGTTTTTAAGCGTTGAAGTTTGTTTGGATCTTTGCTTGGGCACTAATGCCATGTGCTCGGGCTTTTTCTGCTCGGGTGCTCCGGTCAGGGTGCTCCGGTCAGGGTGCTCCTTAGCAATTCCCCCGTTGGAGGTGCAGTCCGCACTGATTTTGTCCACTATCCTCGGATATTACTTTTACTTCTTGTGGCTCTTGACATTAAAAGGTACGGTCTCTCCGAGTATGTTCGGGAAGGGATCACGCCTTCACCGAAGCAGGATCCCTCTCTTTAAGGGTTGTCGACCCAAACACTTTGACCCCGGTAAATAAGACTCTACCACACCAATTCGTCTACAGTTTCCCCGCCTAATCTGGAACTGCAAGCTGCTATGTACCTTCGAGAGTGTCTGCGTGCAGTCGAGATTTGAAACTGATTCGACTAATGTACTGGGTTAAAGTAGATTTAGCGGGAAAATGTCGCCAAACGGGAATACTCCATGCATGCAGTGGTTGCTAGATTGCAGTAGTAAATGAAAGGCTCACAGTGAACACTATTTATTGCAGTACTAGGCTGTGTGTACGTTCATGACCTTCATTCTTCAAGACGCAACATGCCTAGCGAGCCCAAGTCCAACCTCCACGTCAAAGAAGCACTACGTCCGGATGACGTTCAGCCAGAAAGTAATGCTCTGTGAAATTGTAACGGGGTTACACGGGTGTGGCGCACACATGGATACGGAGTACCCGAAGAGTTAACATACTCTCAGTACAT